GCGCGCGGCCGCGTCCGGCGCCTGTGTGCAAATCAACCAGTGAGCTGGGACGTCGGGGCCAAACTTGAGAATTCTCTAGCTCGGTCAAATCGAAGTCGATTCGGCTGATTTCTGGACGAATCGATTGCTCTCAGCGAGTTCTCGAAGCACGGCGGAAGTGCTCGTGTCAAAACATTCGAATACGCGCACATTGAAGTCGGGTTGAAGATTTGATTTGCACACAGTCCGGCGCGGTCCGGCCGTCCGGCGGCGCGGACTCGGACCGCCGCTGCTCGTCGCGCCGGCGCCGCGTCTGGGGCGTCGGGGGCGGGCCGGCGCCCTTGGCGCGGCCGTCGACGACGAGCTGGCGGCCGAGGTTCGCGAGCTGCACGGCCGTGAGGCCCTCCGTCGGGATGTGGCTCTTGGGCCGCCGGTCCGCGGGCGCGGACTCGCCGCGGCGCCGGGGCCCGCGCGCGCGCGGCTCCCGCGCGCGGGGCGGCTTCTCGCGCCGCCGGCCGCGGCGCGGGCCCTCGCCGGGCATCTCGATGTCGACGCGGTCGCCGTCGTCGTCCGCGAACGAGCGGATCGCGCCCGCGAAGCGCCGGCCCTGCTTGACGGAGCCGTCGCGCCGGAGGCGGCCCTCGCGCTTCATCTGGTTCCGGAACGACGTGCGCCGCACGACCATGCCGTCCCGTGACCCGGCCGCGTCCTGGCGCCGCTGGTCCGCGAGGATGTCGTCGATGGAGAAGGAGTGCGTGAACTGCGGGTTCTTGAGCGCGAAGTTGCGCTCCTCGCGCTGCTCGAAGTACTTCTTCAGGCCCTCCTCCACCTTCTGGGACCCGCCGCGCTTCGTCTGGAGGAGCGTCGACGGCATATTGCGTTCTCCGGGCGCAGGAAACAATCGTCGGCACCAAGGTCGCGTCTGAGAGCCGGGGGCAACCCTCGCCTGCTTGACGGCACCAGCGGCCTGTATGGCATAAGCCGATGTACATTCAGCTACATATAGTACGGTACCATCCGGGGGTATTTTTTAACGGCCGTGACGCCCCCATCTAGCGGCCGTGCCCTTTTGCATACCCCGAGACGAGTCAGAGATGCGTCTTTCCTGAAAAAAGCGCGTCCAACGGACATGATGGCGTCGAGATCCGAGCCCTGCAGGACTCCTGATAGTCCTACGTAGGATATATAGAACGGTACTTTCGAGGATGTAGCGCCCGGCGATGATCCGATGGCCCCAAAACCTGCTGATTTTGTGCACACGCCGAGGCGGGGACAAGGTGCGCCCCCCGCCAAAAGAAGCACGTCCAACGGCACCGATCGCGTCGAGCATCAGCGCCACCCA